ATAATAATAATAATAATAATAATAATAATAATAATAATAATAATAATCATAATCATGGTAATGTGATGGGGAAGGTAATGTTCTAACCCAGCTAAAGCCTTTTCTGTTGTTGTTGTTTCACAGAGCAGCTGATCCTGAGTTGTACAGCTGCTGAAGCATGTTCAAGTATCGGATCCGGATGTTTTTCAATGAACTTAAGGTATTGTTACTGATGCGTTCTGAATCAAGCAGGAGGACTGACACAGGGACAGGCACAGACACACAGACAAGGATGCGAGGGTTTGCCATTGGAGGCTGTGGTTGGCCACAGATGAGCTGCTCTCAACAAGATGACGAGGAGGAGTACTATGGGTCCGAACCCCGGCCGCGCAGTTTGGCCTTGGAGGACAAGGAAAGTGCCAAATTCCAGGGGGGTAGCCTGGATGCCGGCTCTCTGCCGAGTCTCTCAGACAGTGGGATGAGGACGCCTCAGTGCCGGATCTGCTTCCAAGGGCCAGAGAAGGTAAAGTTATTCAGTCTAAGTGTTGTTGTGGTTCATCTCATTGAAATAGAGAATGAAAGCCGTTTTCTGTGGGACAAGATTTCTCATGGGACAATCAGTAAAACAAGGTCATCTTAAGGCTTAAACTGCAGAATGTTTGTAGAAGAGCATGGAGTCATTTTCAAACCAAAGCTGGACTAACTTGGGTTATGATCCATGAGTAACCTCCAAAAACTAGTCATCAGTCCAAATTCACAATTGTACTGAAGAAACAGAAAGTTATGTGATCATCAAAATAAAATTAAATATGTATTCTATAAAAACTAACCTCGCCAAAAGACATTTATAAGATATATGTTTTTAGCCTTAAATCTCCACTTACTACTCACAAAAGGATCTCTTATCAGTTTGAAGGACATCTTCTACTCTGTGTACACATAAAACTTCCAATCAAAGACATGTTGAGGAAAACTCCATCAGGCTTTCTCCTTATGTTGTATTGTCATGTTACCATGGTAACCCAGAAAGGGGCAGCTAATCACTGGCCGTGTAGGGAGTCAGTAACATGTTTGAACGGCCTTTTGGCTGTCACTGTGGATTGCCTTACTGGCAGGGACAGGTGAGGCCGAGGCTTTCAGCTGCAATCTGCCACTTCGCCACACGATGTCTCAGAATCCCCAAGAACATCTTTGTATAGAAACGCAGTTAATGTCACATCAAATTAACCAATGTAAATTTACATACATATATTTTGCAATAATTCTGAAGTAAAAATCCAGATTGAGAGCTACTAAAGGTAGCATTGTGGAGGGGAAAAAAAGCAAAGTCAGGTATATTGTAAGAAGAAGCGAGAGTTTAAAATTTACTGTGCAGTAACATATTCACTGTCTGGCATTTTAAAGAAATATTGAAATGTCATAAAAAGCATTCCTTGACATTTAAAGAAATTTTTACAGGTGCTTGTAGAATAATTTTTCATAAGGTTATGAATGAGGAGAAGGGATGTACTTAATAATTTTGCTCAAGTATTCATGGGGAACTCTTCAAACCTTTAGGCAACAAGCCTTTAATCAAGCCTACAGGCTACTGGGAGGTCACAAAAGGAGCTGAAGTATATAACGAGGACTGAGGAGAATGATGAAAGTATAACAAAGATAATTAAAAAAAACATTATGTCTCCTGCCACATGATGGCCTGATCATGTTAACTCCAGTGTAAAGGCAGCCTGGAAGAATCTAACTACTGTAAGTCCCCAACGTTGTTAATTTTGCCTTGAGTAAAGTAACTGAATCACGTTATTTAAAGACAGACAATACAGCGAACAGTAGCCATTCCAATAGCTTCATTGAGCTTTATTTTACCAGTACAAACCAGCACCAGATGTTCTGTGATTTCTTTGGGTGCTGAAGAGAAGTGGCATGTAAAAGGAAGACTGTTTTCAAATGAAGGTGTTAAGTAGCAAATAGTCTCATGTATCAGGAATATCACACCTCAAAGAAGACTGCATCCTTTGATTGGCAAAGTATTTTATTCCATAAAGGAATAAACTGGATGGGTATCGATTATGATATGTGGATTTTTTTTACATCCAAAAAACAAAACAAACAAAAAAAGGATTATTAGTTATCAAACGTTTTTTTTGTAGCAGTGTGTCCACTGCTGCATAATTTTGTTGTGTGCTTAGTATCTAAACCTCTCTTTCATGGGACACACAAGTTATTTTCAGAACATGTGATAACTTCAACACAGATTACAGAACAACAAAGCATTAACAGCTGTCAGAAAAAAATAGCTGCACCGAAAGACAAATAATCTTCAAAGCAGCAGGAAATGACAGTAAAGCTGCACCAGATAGGGCGCTTTGTGAGTGTTAGTTAGGGACCTGCCAAAGAGAAGATGAAGAGTCGATGATATCTAAGGGCTCTGAAAATAGAGGCTGGTGTTACAGGATCCTGTTCACCACTGTTGGAGATCATTCATCACTGGAGGGCAGCATGTACAGGCTGCATGTACAGGTACTGAATAATGCATATTTTTGGAATGCAAAGAAAAAGGGTGGGCAGTTATTTCGTATGTGAGTGACATATATGCTTATATACTTATGTAACAACAATAAATTGAGACCTGTCAGACATATATGGTAAAGAAGATTAGAAAAACAGCCTCAAATACCTCACAAAACCTAATCTGGACCTTGATTGCGCAACTAATATAACAAACCGATATTTTTAGGTGTAACATTCAATCATTGACCCACTCTCTAATATTGTGTCATATGTATTGATTGTATTGAATTATAAAATGCCTTGGCAAGATACACAAACTCATATAATTTCATTAAAATGGCAGTGTCATGAAACAAAATTGCCCTTGTATGAAATACCCTCAATCTTTCTCAGATCAAATATGAGAACAACATTGTTATAACTGTGGACTTCAAATTGTTTTATATAGCTTATTTTTTCTGTATTATCTTTTCATTTGAATATAATGATATACATTAACATACAATGCATCGGCCCCTGTCAATGTGTGTCTCATGTAGCTGCTTTTTTTGCCTTGCAGGGGGAGCTCCTGAGCCCGTGCCGCTGTGCTGGCTCCGTGCGCTGCACCCACCAGTCCTGCCTGATCCGCTGGATTAGTGAGAGGGGCTCCTGGAGCTGTGAGCTCTGCTATTTCAAGTATCAGGTCTTGGCCATCAGGACCAAAAATCCTCTGCAGGTACACTCAGAGTAGCTTTTGTTATTATCTGAGCTTATCTTAGTGATACTTTTCAAAGAGATCCTTTCTGTATTTAACTGAACAGTGTTGACCTACATTTTAGACTCAAAACCACAAACAAAACATTTTATCCGATTTTGAGTGATTTAAAGACTGAGAGGAATAATGACCTATTTATGGGCTACTCCTCATAAGGTAAATAAGATGGTTTTCGGTGTAGGCCATGCAGTGTTTACATTAGCAACACAGCTGAGTCAGTTTAGACTTTGTCCAGTCATCACGCTGACCTTTTGTGAGAAGCACAACAGCTTCACATGAATGTTCACAGGGCTAAATCTACCATGAACAAACAAAGTATTCAAGAAGGCTCCAGGATCAAGGCTATAAGATTAATGATGGACATAGCCACCGTGATATCACCTTATGTTTCATTAACTTTAATCTAAAATCATCTAAATGCCTCATATTCAGTAAATAAACAACCAGGCTGTATTATATTCGATTACCACAAAGAGATTTGTTACGTGTTCGCACAGTATAAAACACAGCAGGGATAACACATATACATCAGATTTCCAAGCAAATGCAGTCCGAAGATATCCTCAGCCACACTCTGATTTACATAACAACAGCCATATGGAAGACGCATGCATAACTCTAAATCTCCTGTACCTCATTTCCTCATTTGAAAAACCATAATACCTGCCCTCTGCTGGCTGTAAAATGGAAAGCAAGTTACATTATCTACTCTCTCTCTCTCTCTTTCTATATATATATATGTATATATATATGTATATATATATGTTGTCTGGCTCTTAGAGCCAGAAATAAGAAATTCTTCACACATAGTGTTCCATCCGCTACCTACCATCTGGAAGGCGCCTGAATTTGGCAGCTTATAAATCTGTCAATACATAACACTTAGGTCTTTGGTGGTTTGAATGATTGATGTAGAATTTGATGTGGACAAGCGCTTTAGAAAAAATTTTTTTTTTGATAATCTCTGATTTGCATGCAATTTAAATTATGCTAAAAATGCATGTTTTCTTTGGAAACCTTGTGCTCTTCAGAGCTACAAACACATGTGTCAGACTCTTAACATGCACATGAAATAATCAAACACAGTTTATCATTTAAAGCTGTCTGCTAACAGTTGATTTATGTGTCTCACCCTGACTGTAGTGGCAGGCCATCTCTCTGACTGTGATAGAGAAGGTGCAGATTGCTGCCATCATCCTGGGCTCGCTATTCCTCCTTGCAAGTGTCTCTTGGTTGGTGTGGTCATCTTTCAGCCCTTCAGCCAAATGGCAGCGGCAGGACCTTCTGTTCCAAATATGCTACGGCATGTATGGCTTCATGGACATAGTTTGTATAGGTAAGATGCAAACTAGCTGCCTTGCTGATTCGTTTAAAAACTCATCTCACAATGATTTTAAAAATTTCCTGGCACAAAAATCTGCTGAATGATGTTTGACACACGTTGTTAATATACATTGATAAAAATGACCTACTACATTATATGTGGTGAAAAAATGTCAAGCGAATGGGAAACATGTTCTTTTTAAATGTGACTTAATTCTTCATTTCACAACATTACATTTTTTGCACAAAAAGTAAAGAAGAAAACTTCCACAAAAAAGGTGAACACAGAACTTAAACATGGATTTAATACCAATTAGGGGGAATTTGGAAGATCTTATATTAACAGGCAGACATTGCAATGATGTGACAGATGTTTCCAGTCTTGGCAGGGCAAGCAGTGAACTCATGTGAGGGACTGGTGTCTAACCAGATATGATAAAACATCCCAGATAATCCCAAAGATTCAAGCAATAAATCTTTTCACAATTTTTTCTCTCGTTTTCCAAAGAACAATTTACATTTCTTTCACCAAATAAGGGAAACCTAGACAACATGTACATCTGTTTTCATTCTTTTTTTTTACTAAAGAAATATAATACATAGTTTGTGCAGTTTTAAAAGCTCTAGGAAAACATCTTGACGGAAACAAATTTTAGGGGAAAAGCCATGCAAAGTATATATCCACCATCTTATTAAAAAAAAGAAGTCTAACGCCTTGATTTCAATAGAGCATTTTACAGTCTCTCAACATCTTTGTATTCATGTATTTGGTTTCTGAAATCTCTGAAGTTCCTTCTTCCCAAAACAGCCAGAAACAATCCAAGTACATTCTGTTCCTTCTGTACCTTTTAGATCTCTCTTATTCCAAATGAACAAACAATTGTTTGCCTGTTGTAAAACCATTTCCTGCTTTAACCTCTCCAAAACTTTTATCCTTAACACCCAGGCCTTATAATCCATGAGGGATCATCTGTTTACCGGATCTTTAAGCGGTGGCGGGCAGTGAACCAGAAGTGGAAAGTGCTGAACTATGAAAAAGCCAAGGATTTAGGTGACCCCCTCAGTTCCAGCTGTAAAGCTGCTGGTCGAGCAGAAGGGAACTCTTCCATCACCATCACAGACAGTGGTCAGAGGATGAGTCGGCATGTCAGAACTATTCTCAACCATCACTGTGGCTACACTATTTTGCACATCCTGAGTCAGCTAAGACCCACGAACCTGAACGGTGCCAACCAGGAGGTGGTCATGAGAGTGACAACTGTGTGAGGCTGAACTATAGAGATGAGCCTCGGTCTTTGAAGAGGATGTGAAAGGATGTGTTTGAGGTTAAGTTGAAATATGTGCCATACAAACACTGCCTGGACCTATAATCTTCTATTTTGTTCTCAGATTATTCCTGAGCTACTTGGACTGACTATAAGTGGGATTTGTTGAAGGAAAACCTTGAAATACAAAGACTGTGGAATTAAAAGAAAATACACTTTTGGGGAAATAAGCTTTGTTCTTATAATTTATAAACATTTTTTTACCACATTTACCAGTATTTCAAAATGGAACTAAGCAGGTTTTTATATTCTGCTTTGTTTAAGAAATCTAACGATAACAGTAGCGACATTTAAGAGAGTTTGATTATGAAAAAACTAATGCACCTACAGCTAAATGTATCATAACTTGATTCCCATGTTGTCAACAGGTCCCTATGAGTTGGTGTATCGTTGGGTTTCGTTACCCATAATGAATTAAAACAAAATGCATAAACAGACCCACATGTATTCCAGAGATATTCGCTATGATATCTCTATTTGAGCTCTTTTTTTACTTGAAGCAGTACTTATCCATGTGACATTAAAGAGCCCAAAAATTGCTTGAGCTATGTGAAAATAATGTTTATAATAAAGTTTTTGTTGTTTGAAGGACAAATATTTGCGTGTTGTCATATTTCATACGAAAAGGTATGATTTAGTTATGAATGGGTTCTTCAAAAAACAACCAATCAAATGCAATAATACAGAATTACTGTACATGTTTAGAAAAAAGCAAGCATCCTTGATAGCATGTTCATCAGTTGAAGTATGCCATCAAGGTCTTGAAATAATAAATTCGGAGGAGTAGTACCATAGCTGACTAAAATGGCAACATCCAGAATAAACTGGCAAAGTTACAATTTATACATTACATAGTGAAAAGTGTTTTGGCACTGTAACATGAAGGAAGCTGTCACCTGTACAGTTTTTTCAACAGATCAAAATGACTGCCCTTTTTTATTTTGCTTTTGACGTATACATGACATTGTCTTACATAATGTCTGGTGTCTTAAGTTAATTCAACTGAAATTATTATGATCAAGCGAAATTCATCTTGAAATTCACTACAATTTTGCCTAAAGGATCATGCAAAATTTTAAGAGTTTTTTTCTTGTATGCATTTCTGCAATGTGGCATTAAATCCCCCTTTTCAGAAATTAATGAATGTATTTATAGACATCAAACATGAAACCTTTAGGAAGAGATACTTCTGTAATCATCCCCGTATTTAGTTTGTGCTCCATACTATTTCCTAATTTCATCGAACCTGGCAACCCAGAAAGTGCGCTTAATAATGACGTAATTCCTGCGCGACTTACATTAGTTAGAAGAAACAAATACACGTTGGTGGATATTTGGAATTGTTATACAGGCAGCGGACTTTGCAAATGTCGTCGAGTGTAACATCCTCACTTCAGGCCAACATGAGCTCGTCCATGCCTCAGAAGCGTTTCTACAGACAACGAGCCCATTCAAACCCGATGGCGCACCACTCGTTTGATTAGTGAGTCAAGTCCATGTGCCTAACTTTGACACACCACAGATCTCATTATTACTTAAACTTTGTGGCGATATATGTCAGGCTTTTAGATCAGTACATCCACCAACACAGAGGATGAAAAACATAAAAATAAAAATACAAACTCGTGTTTTTGTTCGCGATCACAGCAGTAAAAAGGCACACATATTACATTAGGAAAGGAAGCTAACCCACTGTCAGTGGCTTTGTTTCAGTATTGTTTTTGTTTGACACTTTTTAACACATGAACAGCTATAGATAATCAAAACAAAAGCACTTTGTTATTAAAGATGGTGATATAAAAATTACACAGCCTTATTAACAGTGACAGACTCAGATTTGTGATCTGCATGTTTACTTTTAAAAAGGTGGGGGGTTTCTACTCACAACAAAAGAGTCTATTTTTTCTTTCCATCTTTTCCAACATATTTTACTGTTATTTCTTTTTTTTTTTAAACAGGATGTTGTTTAATTAAAAGAGTTCAAAGCTATTTACAATTTTTTTTTCCCCCTTAGCCCAGTGTGTCCAGAGGAAATGGACTGGTCCAAACTTTATCCAGAGGTCATAGGTGGCAACCAGTCTGAGGAAGAGACTCCTCAAGTTGAGTTTGCAGACATTGGATGTGGATATGGAGGCCTTTTAGGTAATTAAGTCATTTATTTCTCAGGTCAAAGCTGTGCTCTGAATCAACATGATTTTTTGTGTCTGTCTACATATGTACTTACTCTCCCATCTCCAATCTAGTGGAGTTATCTCCACTCTTCCCAGATAAACTCATCCTCGGCTTGGAAATTAGGGTGAAAGTCTCAGATTATGTTCAAGACCGTATCCAGTCACTGCGTTCCTCTAATCCAGGAAGCTACCAGAACATCGCCTGCCTTCGCAGCAATGCCATGAAGTACCTCCCTAACTTCTTTAGGAAAGGACAGGTAGGCTTGAATCTGTATTTGTCGCTGTGTGCAGGTTGGGAGTCTGAGGCAGCTATGCCAACAGGCACACTTTAAAACTAAGAATTGTGTTGTTCCTTCCAGACTGCTGTGCAAAATGGAATGATGTTACAAAAAGAACCTTTACTGTTGTTTTTACACATAAACTCTGGTAATGAGAGCATTCGGCTTATTTTCAGACGATACTAAACTTATGAAAATACAGTTCAAACTCGGGATGGGCAGTGAGTTTCAACTTTTCAAAGAGCCATTAGTCTGATCAAACAGAAGGCTCATATCTCTTTTGTGTAGCTGGGGAGCGCATCTGATTGATCCATCAGTCGGTGGCGATGCAATACTACCACCACAAGGCGGAGGTAAAGCACAGACCAGCCCCACTTGGCAACTGCTCCGGTTTTGTCAGCTTAGATGCTATTGATGCTCCAAAACAGGAGGAAAGGGAAAAGACTGCAGCCACGGAGGTGTCTTTGAGCACAAAGCTAGCACGTCGCTTAGGGGGAGCGTTTACTTCAGCTGTGAGGCAGACGACACAACAATGATTTTAGCCTCGCCGCGCTGAAGAGCCTGAAAGCAGAAGCAACAAGGTGAAGCGCTGTGCCACAGGTGGCTGAGCAGGTACGCTCACTGAACAGTTTCCTGGGATTCCGACCTGTCAATCACTTGAAGCCCTTATTAAGACTTTTAATAAGTTCTATTGCATTTCTGCAGGTTGCATCCTTAAATGCAAACTGGGACTCTGAGGTCGTGAAAACTTTTGAACCTCTAAAGTGTATTTTTAAACAGTGTCTACTCCCAAGCAGCATATGTTTTTTTTTGTTTTTTTAACCGTAAGACGTGTGCTGTGCATGCATACTGCCAGGGACATTTCAAAGTCCTTATTATATAGAAATAATGGCAACAATCGAAGCAGGGAAGGTTTGAATAAAAAAAAATGTTAATTTCAGTCATGACTCATCCAAATTGCTCGCAATGACCTGCCATCAAAATGACTGTCCCTCATGCCAAGTTAGAAATGACCAACTGAATACAGTTACTCTCCATTTGTTAAACATCTGGACTGAATTCTTTTAGACATATTTCTCCATGAATTCAATGCAATCATTGACAGAAAGGTAACGCATCACATGAGCATGGAATGGTGCAAAGCGCCGTTCATTCATTCATTCCAATTAACCGCAATAATCTATGACTGGTTGAAACTTGCTTTAGATTACACAGTTTTACTGACTTAATTTAGGCATCCTTGATAAAGCATAAAAAAACATTCACCTGAAATGCCGTGACTAGTTATAAACAAGGAAATGTCTATAGCAGTGACATATTTATGGAATACAAATCACATAGGTGTTTCATATAAAACACGTGCTTTAATTCAGTCTCTTTATTTAGATTTTAGTATGCTATTAAAGATCATTCAGAATTGTATGACTGTTATTTGTGCATGTAAGGTGAAGGCTTTGTGCCAGGCTCAGAATATGTGGGCTCAAGAAGAAGTCTGCATTTATTGGACGTGAAGGTTTAACTTGATTTTACCCTAAGAAGCTATAAATCATTCAATAAGTCATATTCATTTGATTTAAATGAAGGTGTGCTTCGCCTTGCTGTGGTCGGCACAGCTCATAGTTTGTACAAAAAAAAAAGAAAGAAAGAATAACGCATGGGAAAAAAGACCACCCAGGCTCGTGCTCAAAGTGTAGCCCCAGTCCTTCTGACACGGGTGACGCGTCGCAAGTGTTGAAGCAGCATTCTCCCAAGACCAGAAACACTTTTTTCCCCCTCATACCGGTTTGTTTTGTAACCCAAAAATAATTTAAAGTGTTGAGGTTTTTCCATCTTCCATCTGCAGTGAAAGGAGCCCCTGAGGCTGGAGCAGTCCCCAGTGATTATCCCCCATCTTTCTGTCTATAGCAGACGTTATTTATTTTAACTAATAAAAAGTGACTGGAGTGTGTTTTTCTTCTTCTTTTTTTTTTTTTTTAATATATCAACCAGACTAATATCAATGGAGCCTGCGTTTGTGCTCTTGTCATAGACAGAGATGTGGGGAACTTTATGGAAAAGAAATAAAGGAGGGAAATTCCAGTTTTGCAATCCACAGTGTTTAACAGTCAACCGTGGAATATTGTTGAGGCACATTTACAGAGCTGTCAAACTGTTCAGAGCTTTTATCACACCTTATTGTGTTGTAAATGTAATCTCAATGTAAGAAACTTCACCTTCTTTTGACCATTAACTTTTTGTAACTCAAAATGGCTATCTGTACAAAAGCTGTTTGTGGTCGGTTTTCTGTTTTAATCATGTGATCAAAACAACACTAAACACAGGAGTTTGCTTTTTTATTTATGTTTTGTTAGATTTTTGACTATTTCCTTTTTTTCTCTTTTAGCTCAGTAAGATGTTCTTCCTCTTTCCTGACCCTCACTTTAAGAAGACTAAGCATAAATGGAGGATCATTAGTCCCACTTTGCTAGCGGAGTATGCCTACACACTGAGAGTCGGGGTACGTATGATTGATGCTTGTTCCAGCAAAGGATGAAATGACCTGCTCGTGAACTTTTTTTTTTTTAACAAAGAGTTTAATCATTTCTTTTTCGTCTGTTGAAATGTTTTTGTGAACGTTTTTTTTTTTAAGTTAAATGGTTTGATTGAGGAAAAGTTCTGTTCTTCAAGTAAAAGCTAAAAAACTCTAAGACGAGTTCCGTGAACCTAGTCCGGCTGTGGGTCCTGTGGTGAAGACACAAAAAAGGGAAAAATTGGTCATTATGGCAGAAATTACCTTTGACATCAAAGTCAGCTACACACTTGACACACACCTTTTTTCTTTTGGAGGTTTCTTTATTCCTTTTTGGCAGCGTCCACCTTCCATCTATGATGGCATCTGCTATCCTCAGGATGATGCTCTCATCGTCATGTTGGAATTTAATTTTCCACAGAAGAACAACATTTCATCTAACCTGCTATTACTCAGTTATGGCGAGCAGCCCGATGCAGGATGGCTGAGAGGCTCCGGAATTCTTTAATCCCTAAAAAGCCTTCTTTTTTTAATGTCGAAGATAAGGTGTGACTCGCTCATTTTAATTGTGATGCTTGCTGGTAGATGCTAATATTACATCAAAATGACTTTTTCAATGAGTCTCAGTGAAGTCAAAGTGTATATCTTGAGTGCACAAGAAGTAGCAACCTCTCCCCCTTTTTTTTTTATCTGTCCCTTGCAAAGTGGAGTAATCCTTGAATTCATTGAAATGAAATTGAGCAACTGGTTTGGCCTGCAGACGGTTGACGTCTGTGCTCACCCAGCCCCTGCGTGTCTGAGCTGTCAGTGCAGAGCTGGGACACTGGAACAATGAAAGCCCTGTGCATAAAAGAGACTTTTTTTTTTCCCCCCCTGTGTACGCGTGGGGTTCCTCTGATTCTTGTGTGTCGACGCATTTTATGCTTAGCGGTGTGGGTTCGTGTGTGTTTTAGCTCTACGTGGGGCTTCAGCTCTGGCACTCTGCCACAGCTTTGCTGGTGGGTCGGAGGGCTGTCAGCAATCTCCTCAATTCTAGACGGTTTATAGCACATTGTTGAGAAGTTACTGTTGTTTCAAATCTAAAATGTGGCCAGACTGCACCCAAAGCAGAAAGCAGGAATGATTAAACAGCAGTGATTAATCTGAATTATATGTTGGAGACACAATCTTTCATCATCATCCCACCCTGCCCGGGGTGGGAGGATGGGGGGGGGGGGGGCATACGTGCTGAAATGCACAAGTGTGGAAATCTGTGCCACGCTACATTTTCTAAGAAATCCTTTTTCTCGTCATTTTATCAGTCCAGACTCCAGAGCACACTGTATTGACACAGGTGATTCACCTCTATGTTGTCTTTAGGCTATTTTTACCATTTTACATGAATTCCAGCCTAGGAATGAAAAAGCCATCAACCTTTGCCCTAAAAATGGAATAATTTAAAAGGAAACTTCTTTTTTCCTTTCCCTTTTCAGTGCTAGAACAGCTTAATATGGGAATAATGGATGGGTCTATTAAAGAGCAACTGTTTGTTCATGCTTTTTGTTGCCTTTTCTCCCTGAACTCTGTTGATAACAGTCATTTGTTTGTCATATCTCGTCAGGGTTTGGTGTACACCATAACAGATGTGGAGGAAGTCCACATCTGGATGGTGAAGCACTTCACCGAGCATCCTCTGTTCACACGTGTCACCGATGAGGAGCTGGTAGGTCTACGTGGAGCTTTTCAAACTTCTGTTTACACTGTGGGGCTGTTTGTCCCTGAAATGACCGTAGATGATCCGTCAGGTCTCTGCACGGACCAAAAAGCATCCACAAACAGGCTGATCTCTGGAAGCTTCTTTACTGATACAGACACTGAGCGATTACTATTCTGATGTCACTGGGCATATATTTAGGAATAAAAAACTAAAGCAAAGACTTTCTTGCCACAGATATAGCAGAACAACATCACATTCCAGTACGTGCGTCTTATTGTATTACGTTTTTATTTACATTTTCAACTTTAGCTTAGGGGATGTGGTCGCCATTCTTAAGTGTTGTGAGTAGTTAAATATATTATTGAACTCTGTTGATGTTCATTATGGGACACATTTCTCAATATTTTTCATTAACGTTGCAATTCTGTCAAATATAGCGATCACTGACAGCTCATTGTTCAGGAACAGACCCTGCACAATAATCCCAGAGTATGATACTGTCACTGCCATGTCTCACAAGTGGGATTATATAATGCCAAAAGGCATGGTTTTAACAGACCGTTTTTTAAAATAAATAGTTATGTCTTGGTTTAATTCGTTGCAGCTTTCTGTGAACTTTAACAAACTGCAGATGAACAGAAATGCTCATCATCAAACACAGAATGTGCCATGAATCTTGAATTTAATAGAAATGTGTTATTTGAACTATAGAGCCCCCCCCTTACTAAGCCTACTGATTACACACACATTTCTCTGTCTGATTTACTGCTTTCTAAGAAGCGTATATCCCTTAGCTCATCCTTTATTTGTAATAATCTATCCTCAGTACATAAAAAAGATAACGAGGTTTGATGTTTCATCTCATTGGTTTAGTCTGCTTCGCTATCAACTTTTGGGGCCTGATGTTTGATGAAGGTACAGGTCATATTTATGCAGGAAAGAAAGGTTCACAGACTGTCAAACACCACTGTACCTGATCCTTTCACACAGGAGCTCAATGGGACATTCAGCAGAAAGGGCAAAATCCACAGCGTGTTTACACAGACAACAATATTCTGACCTTTGGCCTTTTATTTGACAAGACAGTATTCTGATTATGATGCACATATGAGAATATTCATTCATTTTTCCTTTTATGTGTTATAAAGGATTTGATCTGTGATTTAGATCATGTCTCCTCCTAAACCAGAACACTGTTTGCACTTGTTTTAAGCCTAATTTCTATGCCCTTTTAAGCATAGAACCTTCCTCTTCTCTCTCCATTCTCCCAAAAAGGTTTTATCTGTAACAGTTTTGGATTTTGCATAAAGTATATCATCACTGAAAAGCACCAATGTCTTTTGCAAACTGTAATGAAACTTTGGAAGGAAAATTAGTAGAATTAAGATCTATTTATATATGTGAGATAAAAAAGAGGAAAAGCATCTCAACAAATATTTCTGCTTCTTTTTAGCATTCCTTATATTTAAGTTAATGTTAAGATGTGAGCAGGACAGCACTGTGTCGATCACCTTCTAATTTTATTTTAATTTTTTCCTCAGTGTAACTAAGACTCAAATTGTGTTTTGTAAGGTGGATGACATCATCATTACCCGTTTGGGGACCTGTACAGAAGAAGGGAAGAAGGTGCAGAGAAACGGAGGGAAGAATTTCCTCGCAGTTTTCCGAAGGATCGAGGATCCACAATGAGGAACCACTGTGGATGTCGAAAATAAAAATAACGTTTTTTATTAAGTAATTTCTTCGTGTAGCATAATGCTGCTCAGCAAACCAGCATCTGAAGTTTTTTTTTTCCTATTCATCCAGCAGATGAACACTCATGACTTTTTCTTATTTTTTCAACAAATGGAAGATTTTTCCTTCTATTTTTTATCTTTTCCTTGTGACATGTATTTAATTATTTAGCTTTCAACATGAATAAATCATGGAGAAATTTCTTTTCATGCCACAACTGTGCGGTGTTTTTAGATCGTCTTTTTCAATTCAAGTGAGGCGGCCACACAGCCATTGTGAAACCAGATCTCAGTCCTGTGGTAAGACTTGTAAACAGTTTCAAATGTGTAAGAATTCAGTGTAATCTAGCCTTCACGGAGTCACCGTGCAGCACCGGCAAATGAGCGTGCCAGTAATCCACACTTTGCTTGTTTTGGCTCATTGATAGAGCTGCAGCACTTCTGTCAAATGTGTTAGTCAAACAACAATTGTCTTTATCTGCCCTGCAGTCATTGTGATTTTCAACTCAGGAAAAAGTCCAACAGGAACAGGAGCTCTCAGTGTTCTTTTTTTTTTACGGTTTTGGCTGTATATTACAGGTTGGTATTTTAGTCTGTCAGGAGTTCTGAAACGGGACGGCGCAGGTCTGAAAGCCCTTTTGGTGCTTCAGGCTGTGGTGATTATGAACAGGACAGCACATGCCTTAATGATGGAAAGCCAGACACTGGAAAACCTGAGCTTAGCATAGAGAATAATTGAAGCGCTCAAACTGTCATAGTAACAAATAATTTCACGTTTGTAGCCTTTGCCGGAGTTGGCGCCATGTTGTCATGTATGTAATGGGGTCACGCCGTAGATTTTGAGGTTGTGTTGTACAGAGTGTGTCTGTTGGACACTTTCACCTAATTAATCAGATGTAGATTTAGTGTACTGGTAAGCATCAGGGGATTGGTTTAGTTTTTGGACTCCATGCCATAAATAATGCCTCAAAATTAAAATCTGACAGATAAAATGAAAAGTAATACAGGTGACACCACGGCGGTGTTTGTGGATACTGTGTACGTTGCATTCAAACACACAACCCATGAAAACTTAGGTGCAGACCAAATATTTCTCTTGTTCAAACAGCATTCAGTATTCCTCTAAGACAGCAGCTTCCCTCAGGTGGTCTGACACACTGCTAACACTGCCCAGAGACTTCTTGAGGGGTGCAACAAAAAGCTCAAGGCGCTGACCTGGCCTCTAAACTCCCTAAATCTCAATCCCACAAAGTATTCACCAAATGCGCTGAAACAAGCCCAATCTACAAACGCCTCACCTGTCAAAAAAACTGGGCCCAGAGGACACCCTCAGACGCACCGCGTCCGTGCCTCTGATTGGTCAGACTTTAGTTGGCTTAATGATAACCAGATGGTGGACGTGCGTGAAGTTCACAGATGATCTGCTAATACATTCTTTTCTGTGGGGAAGACTTTCATCAGTCCGTCGGTGATCTTGATGAGGAGCTGTTCCTCTGTTATCACTTACTGCCATGTGGCAGCAAAGCTTTTCCAGCCTGCCAAAATACGTCATTTAACATTTTAATACAAACAGGTCATCGAACAAGATTTTAATTAAGTGCTCTACTGGAGAATCAAAGAAAGGGAAACAATGAATGGTTTGGCAGCACCAGTAAAGCTGCCTTTGCTTCGTACACTTCAGAATTTGCTACATTTGTAAGTCAGAATGTTATTGAGGTCAAAGGGTAATCCTCTGTGAATGCGTTGATAGAGGCTGCTCCCCATTGTGGTTTTTAGCACAAAATACCTCCATTATGCCGTTTCCCTCCTTCAGTTACATCACACCTTTCTGTTTGGTTAATGTCCTATCTTTCACCCAAATGCCTTTTTCTCTGTTTTTTTATGGCTTTTTAAAATTCTTTTTGGGGTGCACAGGCATATGACCATGGTACTTCTGGTCTTCACTGTAGCCAGCAAGGAAAATAATTTCATTTTCTTTTTCAGACTTTTCACCTCTATAATCTTCTCTAAGGCTTTCTAATATTTTAGGATAATCTTACATATTTTGAGTTAAGTCAGCTTGAGTTAGTCCATTGTGGATTTTGTTTTCAGGATAATTTTCCTGTCGTGGAAGCCATTCTACCTTTAGTTTATTTCACAGACAATATGGTGTTTGTTTCTAGACTATGGTAATACTTAAATTAGTCCATTTGTCCTTTTCCAGGGAACCATTCCTCACCAAGTGTGTTAACTGTTGAAAGGGTGATCCAGCCCTGATGGTCTGACACTAAGTTAACTTTAGGGAAATAGATCTGTTGAAGCTCACGAGTCTACTTATCTTGTTTTCAGTTTGCAGATGTGTAACATTAGATATTGACGTAATAGTGTGGGGGAAGTTTCGTCCTCAAGCTTTCTTCTTCAGCGTGTTTTATGTTAGCTGTAATCTTATTCCTGCCCCCTGCTGTTCCATAAAAGCTAAACGAAAGGAGGAGAGAGGCAATAGAAAACGTCTTCTTATGGAGTCCTATGGTCAGCGTTGTCTGTTTGCCTCAGCTTTCATATTAGTTAGCAGCATTCCAGGAGCACATGCCTACCAATTGTTTGGTAGCCATGTGCTTAGAAAAAGTGTTAATGAAGCTTTCTATGTTTTCATCAACTGTCCTTTCCTTTTAAACTAAACCCAAATCTTAGCTAAAGTTATCTGAGAGGTTAAATCTTCTTGATATAACTCACCATTAATATTTTTAAGTTAAACAAATACAAGAAAATCACCATAAATATTTCAGACTAATTTGAACATTAATAGCCTTCTGGAAATGAGTTTTCTTCTCACCACACATTTACAAGCTGACTTTTAAACAACAACTCTATCTTCCATAGTTTCATCCCAATCGGGGAAGTTTTTTTGTCTTTTCAATCACCCCGCTCAATCACAAGGTGTGGACATCTTAAATGTACAACTGTCTGTGTTTACAGGAAAATACTTCCACTGATGTCTCTGATAGGTTTGGCTTGCTTCTTGATGCATTATTATTTAAGATTTAACATCTCTGATGTTTATCCCAAGCTCCTTGCACTAAACTCTGTTTCTTTTCCTTCCTTGTACTCAGGTAGAGACATGCATCAGCTGCCTCCCTGACATCTCCCGTTGGATGCCTGCCCTGATACCTCAGGCTTGGCAAAAAAACACACTGAGTTGCTGTACTTTCAAAGCAAATCCCATCTCATTCCTTTCCTCATTAACAATTCTGGCAGGGGATTTACACCACCACATGAGAGCAACTCATCCTGCACGCTTGCATTTAGCAACAGGTATTTCCTCATTCAGAATTATTAGGCCTCAACTGATCTTTTCCTAAACTATGAAGGCTAACCTAGACTTGGGTTCAAGATGTTCGAAATTCAGTTGAGTTTACTTGTCAGACCTCAGAAATTTAGCATCAAATTTAGACCAAGACTATTCACAACATTGAAAACAGTCTTAAGTGGCCACTGGGAGCTTGAATTTGCTGTGTTTTTTTCTTTGATCATCATTATTTGTCTGCCTCAGACAATACCAGATTCATGTATAAATTCACACAGATTATGTTGGTGAGATGGCATGGGGTTTACATGCTCGACGCCTCAGATGGGCCATGGCAATTTCTAAATTGAAGACTCTGAAGTTGAATTTTGTTTTTTAAGAATGATTTTTGAAAAAGCTGTTCTCATTGACTATTTGTTCTAAAGATTATGTGTCAACTTGTGGTTACCTATGGCTGATTACATAACCATCATCTGGTATAATCGCAGTAAAAAACAAATAAAGACAATCTCTGTGCAATAGATATGCCAAAACCTACACATACAAGTTTTTTTTTGTGTCATAACTCAGTTCTGCCTCCCTGCATGTATACAGTTCCCCAGTTAAACCACATAGTCAAACTGTAACCATAGCTTAACTGAAGTGTGGTAACTGGTTTGTGTTTGATCCAACATTACAGGTACTGGCGCATTGATGAATGTTTGTCTGAGAAATCTGAGAGATTTAAACTGTGATGTCTGGGCAGAGATGACCCCAGCCCCAAAAGTCACCTAAAATATATGAAAACAGGACTGAAAGTTCACATAACAATCTTCACTAGATAATGTAAAGCAAAACAAGGACAGACTAACAACAAAAAAACCTGCTTTGGGTATCCGTGTAAATGATTGAGTATGGTCACACATTGTGAGTTTGTCTATCAACGATTTTGAATCAATTTTAATTGAACGATAAGTGTCACACTTTCTGTGAGGTGTTGGCAAACTCTTCTAAGCCCCCCCAGGCTTAAAACAAGACAAACATCAGTGAATTTGATAAGGTTGTCCCAGGTCTGTGCATTACTATAGACAGTAACACTGATAAGGAGAGATTTTTCCTTTGAGCCTTGTGTTGAAGGTGATGTAAGGACTCTTGTGCCTATCTTGTCGTGCAAACAAATGTCACATTCATTGCAATGTGCAACATCACAGCGTCCAAAGAAAGTTAACAACATATATTGCGTTGCATTTTGGCCTGTATTTAACCAAAGAAAGTAACTGTCCATTGTCTCGTGGGTCACTCTGAATCTTTATACACAGTGAATAAAACAAAACCCCTCCACTCCACGACCAGCATGGACCAAATTGACACAGATATCACAACTCGAAGATAATACAATGAACCATTTGTCTTGGCCCTTTGTTCTATGACTTATAGATAGCAGGTAATCCATTTAATTGTATTCGGAGGAAAGTTGAACACTGAAAACTTTGAAAGTAAAATGACCCTTTTAACTGAAAGCCAGTTTACAGAGAGGGGTACATCTCTCCTATTTAAGTTCCATGTTCACAACACACAGTATTCATTTAGAAAGAATCAGTTTGCACCTGAGGAAACCAATTCTGTCAAACCTCAAAGTTTAAGTCAAAACATCCAGTGTACCCAATTTTTCAAAAAACACTGACAGTATAAACGACTGCATTGTTTGGTACAGTTGGACCAATGTCTTGGCGATCCCTCTGTATCAGGTCAACACATGTGAGTGATAAAACATAGGAAGTGTGTTCTGTTCAAACTTTTCAAAGTAAACTGTGCTGCTGATGGACACCAGTAATTATCTTTAATGTGGGGAGCAGCTGCAGCCTTTTTAGTAACTGCTTACACCTGCTGCTCATGACGTCTTGAGTGCTTCAGTATTTAACTATTTAAGTCTGTGCACAAGACCGAAACACA